TAGAGGTCACCAAACGAACACATCGCTGTTGGTCGTAATTACCTGCTGGCACAAACGACAGTCATTTTTTTATAGGACAGTCTCAGAGATGATGATTGGCACATTTGATTTTTGAAGTTTTCACTGAGATCTAAAGCTGCAAAACAATTCCACTACAGTGACATTCTGGTGGCATCTCCACAGCATGCAAAAGTCTGGAGGCAGTGGATTATATCTTCCAGCAGTGAAGGAGCAGTGGAGCTCCAGCAGGCAGATCTGAGCAGGTGGAAGAGTGCCAAGCCGGGCTAGACTGGGCTGGGCAGCTGAGGTTCCCCTCTGCCCTAAGTAGCAGTGAGGCTAAGTTAATCCTGCGCCTCAGGCCCCTGTGCAGTGGTTCTGCCAAAGTGCATTCCCCTGCTGCTTCAGGAAATTGCCTTCAGTGAAGAAGTATATGCAATGACTATGGCTTAACCAGTGAAGGCAAAGTATAGCCCTGTGTGTGCACACAGAGTCAGTGTGACTTTAATAAACCTAATCTACAGGTATATTTTTTATCTGAAACTTATATATTCTAAAATCTCATGATGTATTATCATGACAACAGCCATTCTAAGGATAAATTTGCATTTTCTTCTATGTAATTTTGTTCACAAATTAAAAGTTCTTATGTATTTATATGTATCATTTATGTACCATAAAGAGGTCTTTTGACACTAAAAGCCAGCTTTCCTATGTGGGGTTGTGTGTCAGGCTCTATAACGCCTCCTCCATTGTGCTATTTGACCCGTGGGCCAGCCAGAGCTCCCATGAGGTCCCTTATCCCTCCATCAGTCCTCTCTCATTAGCCCCCACAGGCAGAGCCCAGAGCAGGGTAACACAGAGGGGCCCCTTTCTCCTCTGGTCCTATGAAATACATACACCAGACACAGATGGCAGAGATCACCTTTTACAAGTTTTGATCCATAAAAAAAATCGTGCATTTCATAAAAGAACTACCAGCTTTCTCCCTGTAAAAGAAAATGAAAATGAAATGACACTTTCAAATCCCCATCCAGTCTCCTGATGCAGAATCGCTGTCAATGATCAGGTGGTGTTTGTGCGTCCTTGTTAATTTTATGGGTTCATTAATCTTTATTTTCATTCATTGCACACAAATGATCAGATTGCCAAAGTGTTTCATCTTTTAAACAGGGATCTAATAGTGCAAAGCAGAGGTGGCAACATGAGGAGGGAGGAGGAGGAGATTGGGCAGGACACACTGGAGAAATAGTTGATTATGAGTCCCATCAAGTGATCAATGATTTCATTAATAAGACGGATCATGCAGCTGTCATAGCTGTGACACGGGCTGAGGGATGGTCTGCTCCCAACGTTCCATTTCCCACCAGCCTCCCTCCCTTCCTCCCTTCTCCCTCCCTGTCCTTCTGATATTGCCTCCCTCTGCCAACGACAAGGGAACGCCAAGGGAAAAAAGCGATGGAGCTGGGTGTTGATGGGGTGGAGGGAGGTTAGTCATGAGGGAGCTGGAGGGGGAGGACGAGAGAGGAAGAAAAGTGAAAATCCATTTTGAAACCCATTTTCAATTAGGGGTCCACAAGCTGTTATCACAGGTGTCCCAGAATGGGGACCCGTAAGTGAAAATGTCTCCTATCAGTTTCTGAAATGAAACCTTATCTGGGAGGCACAAAGATGGTGGGGACAGCGTATCTGTAAATTACTTTCCATCCCTGCTGTTAACGGGAACTTTATTTCTGTCAGATGACATTCCCCTCTATTTACTGTTGATCATTTAAATGGCTGCCTAAAAAGAAGGTGGCCCCTCACTCTTCCTCTATCTCACCTCTCTCTCTCTGTATCATTCTTCCTTCTCTGCCTGTCAGAAGATTTTTTTCCCAAAGCAGTCAAGAGTTCTTTTTCTTCTTTAAACACTTCAGCTATGCTCCCCATCTGCTTACGCATTTCTCTGGTAACCTACACAAAGCCTTACATTTGTTGCCCTTTAAGGCTTAACCTGTTTCTTCTCATCCTTTTAAGCATGACCATTAAAACTCACCTTCTTCATGAACTGCTTTACAGGGGCTCTGTCTTGTTGAAGCAGCAGTCCCTGACAATATTTTGAACTGTGTCCAGTTCTTCTACTCCCCATTTCTCAGGTCTCGTCCTATTACTTACACTAACTCAGTCTTTTCTTCAAATCGGCAGCACCCATATCATACAAATCCAACCAATTAGAAACTCAAATAACCAACCCTTTACCCCAAGACCTGTATTATCTTTCTTTTTTTTATTAGCAAATTATCCCATGACGACAGGATTTATTCAGCCAAGGAGCATGGACATTTTTTTTTTTGGCTCAAGACCCAACAAAAGAATCAGGGGACTTTGTGGTCCACCTGCCTGCTGAATGATGAGGGTGGGAGGGGAGGGCACCCCCACAGAACACCTCCTAAAGAGCACCAATCACAGCATTGTTGTGGCACAGTCGGCCCTTTTGAGCTGTCAGTGCAAGAGGAGGGGGCACAGAGATGAACGGCACACAGGATGAAGCCACCATTTAGCCAGCCATGTGGGAATGCACTCAGTAATTACTCTGGGCCAGATCAACTTGGACAAAACTTACAGGCTAGAGAGAAGGGGGAAAGACAGAGTAGAGGAGAAATTAAGCCTTAAACTGAGAATTAACCCTGTATTACATGTGAAGCGATTACTCTGCTTCAAGACAAAAGTGCAGCATGGTGGGCAGAATTGTTCCAAGTTGCAACCTACAAGATCCGATCAGATCAACAAGCTGATCCCAATCAAAGAAAAAGGTTGGACGTCTTGGTGTTTAGCCTGGAAAGATCTAGCTACATATCTATTTCCACCCAGCCTGCCCTTTACACTTTTCACAACCTACTGCTCTGAGATCAGGGGCCACTACTGTTGTTGGTGGGGGAGTATTTCGCCAGACCTACCTAAGAAGAACCAGGCACCGGAGTTCCACAGCTGCTCACAATTACCTTTTGTTTGGATGGAGGCGGTGGAGCAGGGCACCAGGGGTTAAAGTTAAGGTGAGTGTAGGGTTACAACTGATAAGAGGTTATGAATTCTGGGGGCAACTTGGGAATGTGCTCTAATTATAACCACACAAAGAATGTGTTAGCTATCTTATGATTCCAAGTCAGACACCTGGATCTAAAAGGAGCCTTCGCTGCTCATTAGTATAATCCCCCCTGTCAAGTCAATGATAAGAGTGCTGTATGTATGTAAGGGAAAGTTGTAGTATCTTCTGACGTGTCTGATTCTCTGTAGGAGGAGTCTCCTCAGCAAAGACTTTAAGACAAACCTTGTGCTGTTCAAAACTGTAATTGCCAGCACATTACCAAAAAGGAAAAAAAAAATCCATAATCACAGAGCCAAATTATACCCATGCTTTTTCCACACAAACATTCTTTCCTTGCTGCCCCTTTAATTAATAAAACAGTGCGGGCCATCTGGGAATGAGTAAGAGCGAGAGTGCTCCCAAGATGCTTCAGGATTCATTACCTTACATACTTCCTATGATAACTCCCATATGGGGAGCAACTCACAGCTTACAACTTATTTACCCTTTCCTGGACTGTTCGCACTTGTGTTGATCACATTTGGCATCAGCAGCTTCAAGTGGGTTGACAATGAGGTTGTACGTTATGAGATTTTTAGAGTATGATAATGGTCTCAGAAATAGAGATATCCAAAGTAATCCTACACTGTTTTAATTTCTTTTTTTATGGATGGAGTTTGGTGATATCATCCTCCTTTTCTCTGCATTTGTCCATGTGTGGTACCCGACATGGAGTCTGACAGGAAGTCGGGCATGAAAGGCGACACGTATTGCGCTTATTTTTTTATTCAATACTGGTAACAAGCAAATCTGCATGGTATGATAAGCATCCATTTTCATACCATGGTATAGTCTGAAACCCTAGCTGACAGAAAACTCTCTATCAGGTCACCAGCTCCGGCTCCTAGCGCCAACCCCCCCAATACCCCAAACCTTCCAAATGCTCTCACTGCTAATGAGCACAGCTGCAGCTTAGGTCATGGTGAGCTCAACTCTCATTTTGTTATGACTAAAGCTTGATACTCCAGGGCTTCGGGTGAAAAAGAAAGGCCTTGTAGCATCTGATATAAGAATGACAGGCTGAATGATGACAGACCTAATGAACCATACGCTACATACCACTTTTAAAAGCATGTGTTGAAGACACTGCTATGTAAACATGCCAAAGTTTTGCTACCAGTGACTGTGAACCATGAGAATAAGAAAAATGTAAACAGTCATAACCAAAACTAATGAAACCATAGGTAGACAAACATCCCTTGGTCCCCATTAGACCTGCGGCTCCGACGCTCAGATATTCTGAGACATGGCAGGTGACGTATTGCAGCCAAACCTCCACATTTCAAGGTGGAAGCCATGAACAGATACATGACAATGGCATGTTGCAAACCTCTGTGACTTTAGCAAAATGTAATAAGTTTAATAAAAATGGATGAAACTTGAAATTCAGTGGCATGCTTATCACCATGACTGACCTGTGCCTGCAGAAAAGTTGAGATTCTCTTATATTTTAATGATCTTTAACATCAATATTCAAATTACAAAGATTTTTTTTTCCAAACATGAAGATGTTGCTAGAGTTAATTTCATGAAATATGGATATTGTTTCCATGATGACAAAGGCCTGTAAAGCTTGGCAGTGTGACGTGCATTGTCGTTAAATTTAGCCACACAGGAACGCTATTTAACGATACTGTACACCCTGATGAGTCGTATGAGATGGAAGGGACAAATGTCCTGTATAGAACAAAAATACCTGAACTACTGTATTTTACCTGTGACATCACAATCGCTCATGGCTTCGGATTCCATGTTCCCATCCCTCGGCTGCTAAGATGACTAATGAGCCAATCTCCCCCAAAACTGGCTGTTTCAAAAAACCAAAATTATATTTAAATTAACCACAGAGGCTGAGTGTGCAATTAGAGGTCCCGCATACCATTTGAGGTGGTGCTGGAGGCCACCGCCTTCTCGCTAACATCATTCCGCACTGATGAGCCCTTGCTCGCCACTATGGTCTCCACCCTCTTCTTCTTCTCAGCTGCTGAATTGGCTTGGGACTGGGTTTCCATGGCTGTTTGTCATTCCTCAACACGTCATGGAGACAGGTTAACTGGTGGAGAAAAAGAAGGTAAATAATGGGATTGCAGTTATCACAAGATGAATTAGGTGTGTTCATTTAGGCATCTCTCCAGCTCACCCTGATGTGTTTTACTTCAACCCTGCTGGTCTGGAAGCTGAACTCAGTCTCTTCTAACTGTGGTTAAATATCCAGAACCACAATTTAGCTGACCTTATTTTCAGCGATGTCACACTAAACTTCTGACTTCTAGTCAAAAAAACCAACATCTTCAGCAAGGCAGGACATCCTGACTAGGTTTTATATCTCAGAATAGAAGTACCGGCAGCTTGTGGATATACTGATAATCCTGCTCTAGCAGTCTTTCCAGAGAGAATGAAGAAACCTTAAGGGGATACCAGAGAGAAAGAAACACTCAGTCCTGAAAAAACAAGGGCTGTTTGAAGGCCCTTTTGGGAATATCATGGTGCCGGGCAATTTTTCTTTCAAAGAATAAAGGTGGTTAAAGTTAATACTGTCTGTGGGTTTAGAAGGGGTTCAGCCAACAGTCTAGCAGACATGCTGCTCAGTTCAGCACCTCAGAGGCTGTCTACAAACTCCACTCTATCTAGGTCACGGAGGTCGCAGATTATGGAGACAACACAGTGATACACCACAACCACTCATTTACACTAAATATAGGACAGCTTCATTTGGTCCAATAGAAAGCCTTTACTTAGATCCCATAATTTATGGATGATGACTGGAAATATTTAGTCTGACAAACCTTTTCTTTCCAATAAAGAACAGCTAATTACCTGACTACTATTTGTCCTCCACCCTATAAAAATGCATGGATACAAAGAAGTCTGTAATAATGCAAAGAGAGGATTGCTGCAGAAGC